GCTCTCTACAAATCCTACGCTGTTGTCTGGCACTGTCTCTACTGCATGTGCGCTACTGGCCAGGCCGTGCACGGGGCCAAGCCGATGTCGTGGCAGCCTTCGTCTTGCCGACGTGGCACTCTTTCCACCGCTCGAATTACCTACTCGCCGAGCCACTGCCTGCCTCTATAGTCACATCGCACTAATGCCCATGTCGTGGTGTTACTGCCCTCACTCGCGTCATTTTGTTGCACCGTCCCTGTGAGACGGCCCCACGCGTGATCGCTGCTTCCCTGCCGCCGCCCGCATCCTGCCATGGCTGAGTAGTCCCATCATGATGCTTCATGATGCTCTCTCTCTAAGTCTTCACTGTATGGATGCCTCGCTTCATTAATGCAGCCTCGACCGAAGTAGGCATGGCCTTGAAGAGCTGCCGCCCCCGCCTGCCCCTGTCGCCGACAGAATTGCCCGCTTCGTACGACAAATATGTGCGGTTCAGGACACCACACCTTAATTCGGCATTCCAGTAGTTAGACAGGAAAGCCAGCAAGCAGCCCGACCTTCACCTTGGCGCAACCGAGCACTACTGGCGGTCAATTTTTGTTTTTCCTCGCCGCCGGCCAGGTGCGCCGCCGTGCCAATGAAATTGGGGGTAAGATCTGAATTAGTTCAATTGTTTGTATCCATGAGCTTGCCTTGACCTCCTCTATCTAGTGCTTGCGCCATTTGGCCAAGGCGCTTACTGGAGACGTGGTGAATCATAGGTGTCCATCCGGGAGCACCGTCGCCCCGGCGGCTCCCACGTGGCCAGGCCACCTTGGCATTCCTCCGCCTCAACCGTCACCGCAGCACAATCCGGTGAGCTACTGGTGCTTACCCGCTATCTCTACCACCCCAATAGAATCGTAGGCTGCCGGAACAGTCATGTCGCCGCCGTGGATAGCCGCTCGCCGCTGCAGCCCGCGACAGTGCACCTTCGAGTCCCTAACTACCACCCATCCTTGCGCGTTTAGCTGTAAATGATGGTCGGTCCCTTACTTTCGTCGTATCCCGCCTAGGTTGCCCGACGTAATGGCCTTATGCCTTTGGTCGCCGTGCCGGCACGCGTGGGGTTTCCAGGGATCTCCCCATGGTAAAGGCGAAAACATCCGAGGGTTTGGTTGTAAAGTTACTGACGGTAGGAATAGTACGCATAGTAGTCGTATTAATCTTTGAAAGCTAGGGGGTCTTTCTGCAAAACAGTCAACGCACGTAGGCGCCCCTAGCCTTGGGCCATACTAGGCCACCACGACGCGCGCGCAGCCGAGCCACGCTGGGCTGTCAGGCCAGATGGAGTTGCTGTCGGCCCTTTCCTTTTTCTAATGCATTTTCAAATTTAGTTTCTAAGGCAAACTTGTAAATACAAAATAAATTTGTGTAGTTGACCAAAACTTGTGAAATCAATTTTGTTAAGTTCCTAAAATCTTGATCTATCTGCTAGTATATTTTGTTCACATAGTTTTATAATATTTTCAGGAGTTATCTAATTAATTTAAGATACTTAATATTGTAAGATATAAACTTGTAGGAATTTTTGTAATAAATTGGTGATAGTATTGGCTCTAAAACTTTCACAGCAAATTCCTAACATTATTAGGTGCTCACTGTCAATTTTGTAGCTCTATAATAATTAGTTTGTTAAGGTAGCTAAATGAGACCTAGTCCAAAAATATATAATTAATCCATAAAATGCCAAAATACCTTGGGATTTTAAAACTAGAACATTTTTTTGAAAACAAAGCCTTACCTGACGACGAGGATACGTAGACTAGTATGATAGTTATTAAAGCTAGCTCGTTAGCTTGCAAAGCGTAATCATATTTTTAAGAGTTACGGTTACCGTTGAGTAATTGCGTCTCTACGTTGCATCTACGTATATCATAATAGGAACAACGATGGATTATGGAGTCGACCGAAGTAGCAGAAAAGATGGTGCCTTGATGATCCTGTCACAAAGGGAATGCTAATCTTTGGTTATATCTTACCCAGGCAAGCCCCGGTGCATAACCCCTATTATTCTGCACTTTATTTTAAGCTTGTGCATTAAGTTTTAAGGAGTTGAATGAAACCACTTGCATATATATATCCTTATCCTATGAGTCTTACTAGTATGTTAGGATCGTGTAGATTGCTATGCTATAGGATTCAGTTGAAGTCGAGTGATTACCTGTCAGTCGCGTGAGATAGGAAAAATATTATTGTTGTTATTATATTACTATCACATGGAATATATATGAAGGATAATTGGAGACCGGGCGGAATGGTACTTTGGATCTGGACTTGGTTAGGCATTCGAGCGAGGCTCGGATTGCACTTGTTCCGCCTGTGTCGATTGAGGACCGTCTGTTGCTGTGGATGGTAGTCAGGTCACAGACTTATTATCCTGAGCACATACTTGCTTATGGGAGCGGGAAGGCTCGTTACGCTCTTGTCGTGGGTTCCGGCTCTTTCCGGACCAACTGATTGGAGGCGGCGAATGGTGGAGGTCTAAGCACCATATTGAGACCAGGTCTAAAGTGTGGGGGCTTGGAGTCCAAGTTTGGACGGGGACTTGGACCCCTTGATAGGAGTGGAATGAGTTGGTCTTGTTTGTGCCTGGGGTGCAAACGGGGCGTGTGTTTTAGGGTACCCAGCTAGGATACATTGATTCATGAATCGCCGTTTCTGTGAGACGGTACCGACTTGGCTATGGTCTAGCAGCGTAGTAAGAACTAGAACTTAAAAGGCGATAAAATGTTTCTGATTGCTCACCACATGCTTGACAGTAGCATATGTGCTTACATAGAATGGTTAATTAATGAACTAACGATGACTGCCAATAAAATTGAATATAAGGACGCATGTTTAGTAATGCTTCCGTAGATGCAATAACCCACAAGTCAAATAAGCCTTGTATATCCTTGGAGTCTTTTATTTTTCCTCCTGTCGGGTAAGTATTGCTGAGTACAATCGAGTACTCAGAGTTTTATTCTCCCTGTTGCAGGTGATCGGAGGATACTTAGAGCTAACTCTTGTGTGTGCAAACCTCCTGGTGGGCTCAGAGAGGATTCCTTTCACGCTACGATCGTAGTGTTTATTTATAACCCTCACTAAATGTTTTTATAAGAAAAAATGTAAAATCTACTAGCATCTCTCATATATAAATATCCACTATGTTCATACTCCACCATGTTATTAAATTAATCTTTGTTTTCTCTGTAACTATGATAACATTGTTATATTCCGCTGTTATAAGCACTTGAGGTAATATTCTACTACTGTAATAAAGTGATGTAAGAAATGACTTCAGAATATTATAATCTTTATTCTCTCATTTATGATCCTGATGAAAAAATGTGGATTTTCGAGTTCTCTCTTAGGGTGTGCTCGACGGAACTGCGTAGTTTAGTGTCCTCTCTTGAGTACTTAGTGTCTAATGGAAGACAAGTACTCCTGGGAGGCATTAGATTAGCCAGTTCTGCCACAGTTAATCCACCATATGTTGGAAGAATATCTTAACTAAAACTTATGAGACAACTTAAGTTACCTGTCTTTTGAAGCCATTCTTACATTTATCATCAATTCGATAACTTGCAAAATTTGCAGACTATTGGAAACTTATCATTTTGAGCATGTTTGTTATGGTTTTCTGGCATAGAACTCATAAGGCAATTTACCATAAACTCTTCAGACACATCTAATACAAGTGCCTTTAACTCATAAGCCATATCAAACAAGCTCTTAACATGGTTACCCAGACCACTTATCCCATCATAACGGGAATTAAGTAACTTATCAAAAAAGAAAACATTTCTAAAGTGTGCTCTTATGGAGTTGTGAAGCTCCTTAGCACTTAATTTCCTGTTCTTTTCATTAGAAAGGAACCTCCTAATCATGTTAACTGAGAGCGACCATTTTATAATCATTTTGGCAATCCTGTCGGATTTCTGCCATTTTTCTATTTTTGGAATGTGCTTCTTTATCCTCTCAGCATAGTACACACAAATAGGAGAAGGAGCACGTGGTTTTTCCTCATGAAGCACATAATCAAGGTCCAGCTCCTTGAGAATGGCATGCACCTGATTATTCCAAGTAGGAAAATTAGTGTAACTTAGGGGTTCTATTTTACTTATATAGTCTGCATAATTTACTAAAAAATTTTGAAGCAAAATAATGTCTCAATTAGTAAGTTGTATATAAGATGTACTTAAAGCATGAAGTTAAAACAACATTGGTCAGTATTTATAGCATGCTTAAGAATTTTAGTTTGCATCACCGTTGGGCAGAAAACAAACCAAAATCCATCGTAATGACTCATAATTAAAGTCAACGTTGGTTAGAAATTAATTATGAGTAATCTCCGATTAAATATCTTGTTGGTTCCATTTAACCAGAGACCATCTTATTATATAGTGGTGGATATATTTATATATATGAAAACTCATAATTGAATACAAATTCATGCAAAACTTAATCTCAGGGCATAAAATGCTCATGGAAACATAAATTAATACTGGAACTGAAGCTAAAACTGAGACTTAGAACTTATTCAAATAGTGCATAAAAATTAACCGAGTAAATTGCACTAAAGAAAAATTTCTTAAACTTAAACAAAAGTCAGCAACATATTCCAAAACATACTTAAATAAACTAAAAATTTACTAAAGAAAATGGATACTTAAGCTATATATGCCGTGGGAATATATATCATTATGAGAGGCATTAACTTATCTTATATACTTAAAGCAGTGATAAAGTTGTTGGTAATAAACTTAAGCTAAACATAAAAGGGCACTAATAACTCAAAACTTAATTAAAGTACTTAAATAATGCACTAATATTAAATAGCCGAGGAAACTTATATTCTGAAAATAAATCTTAGTTTGGCCTTTAAAGAATAGGCCTAGCAATGGCCCAAAAGTACTGAACCGTGTCACGACCCAGCCAGTTCTCCCCTTAAAACTTAATAACTCAATAAATGTAGGAGAAACAAAGTGGCTGGGATGGTCTCATTTATCTCAATGGACGTTAGGATTTACCAAAAAAAACTCATGGTAAATACTCGGCTAAAATTTTAATACCCAATTACTCATATCTTTTCTTCTCCTTTTAGCGCAATACCCGCACATGGGAACTCATAAATATCAGTGAGCAAGTTTATATGTGCAGAAATTAACTCATAAATACTAGAAAATTAATCAGCTCAAAACTTAACTCAAAAGCTTAAATTATGCGCTGAGAATTAAAAGGTAAATGAAACTTATATTCTGAAATTAGAAAACTCAATTTCGGTTTAAAACTAAATGGCCCATTAGTGGCCCTCTGCCCCACGGCGTACTGATGGCTTGCCAGAGGCCAGAACGGCTCCTCTTGGAAGCTCACTCGGCTTTCCCTAAAAGCCCAGCAGTGGCCCAGCTTATGAAAATCCTAATGCCACACGATCTGGACCATTGATTTTGATCCAACGGCCACCATCCAATTAGAGTTCATATAAAAAGGATGAAACTCTAAATGGCTGTCACTCTCCTCAGTCTCTTTTCTTCTTACTTACACACACGCAGCTGCATAGGCAGGACTGAGAGGCGCACGGCAGCTCAGAGCAGCGGCGCTGAGGTGGCTTCTCTAGCCGGCGCACGCTTGCGTACTATCGCGCGCGGCTCCGTCGAGATTTGCCGCTGTGGCGCCCAACTTATGGCGGCGGTAGCCCGTGCGGCACAGGCAGGCGGCTGCGGCGGCGGACCGCAGTAGCGCCCTCATGTGTTGGCGAGGAGGTGGCGACGCCCGCACTCAGCGGCGCGGCTCGGCAGGTGTAGGGAGCGGCGGTGCGTGCTCAAGGCCCCATGTGACAGCGTACCTGAGCACACGTGCGCAACCGGTAGGGTGGCGACCCGGCCTGCTAACCGGGTACGAGCCAAGCAGGTGCACGTTCCATCTCTGATTCTGATGCTTAGAGTTAGGGTTGGGGATTTTTGGGACTTTTCTCGGGTTTTGCCCAAATCACCTCCTTCTCGGTGCTTCGTGGGCTAATCTGATGGAAAACATCACTGATTTCTTAATCCGAGATTAAAAGTGATTAACAGTAAACCTTAAAACCCTAATTGCTTAGTCTAATCATGAACTCAATCTTAGACCGCATCTAATTAAGGTCTAATTACTTACTAAAACTTAAAACAGATCTAATACAGCAATTTGTGTAACATAAAACACGCTCATTAGATTAAGATAAACATTAGAAGCTAATGATGCATGTAGCAGATCAGATCGATCTTAATTAAAACTTAATTGCATCTAATCTGACTTAGCTGAAACTAATCTAATATAATAACAGAAGCATAAAAAACGAAACTGACTCTGGCCTAGGATCATGTTAGGTCTAACATGGCTCCGATACCAATTGTTGAAATAGAACTTAGATTAACAGGATCTTAATTTAGCCTAAACATGATCACTAACTCATCTTAATGCGGAAACTAATCTTAGATACTAACTAGAGCCTGTGAATGCCATCTGTGTTGTGATGGAGGTCGTAGATGTAGAAGACGACTTAAGTTCACCGCCTGAGGACTTAGAGGCCCTCTGTCAGTGAAGAACGTGAGTTGCTGGATAGCGGCAACTCTCTAGACGCCTCGTAGATGGACCTGCACGGGATGGACGTGGGAGACGGCCTTCCTAAACCCTCCAGCGCCTAATTGACCAGTTGTGTGAAATGTTTCACGTGGATGGAGCCGCCAGGGGCGTCTCCTCTTATTTATAGATGCGCTATGGGCCAGGGGGCCGAACCCTAGAAGATCTAATGGTTGCCGCCGATCATGGCAGATCTGATTTAGTTGGAAATACATGACTGGTGGACCAAAAACTTAATGCTTAATTAATATCATAATTAAGTTCGGGATTAGCCGAACGGATCACATTCCAACATTGTGATGTTATCTTCTTTTCCCTCTTTAATCTAGGTTACCAATGCCCTTGCACATGCTGGTCTGGAGTCCTCTAATCTGATTGTGGGGATTGATTTCACAAAGAGCAACGAATGGACAGGTATGTTTGTGCCTGATCAGCTCTGCGGGACGTAACTATGTGAACTCATGCAAGAGTTGTATGTGAACTCATGCAAGAGTTGTTTTACTTTTTCTTCTTTTCTTCTTTCTGTCAACAGAATTTCTGATCTGTTTGTAAGCGCAGGCAAAGTGTCCTTCAACAACCGGAGCTTGCACGCAGTGGGAAACACTCCAAATCCATATGAGCAGGCCATATCCATCATTGGGAGAACCCTCGCACGATTTGATGAGGACAACCTTATACCATAATTTGGATTTGGCGACGGTCAGTTGTAACCTGCCTCAGTTCAGTCTTTTTGCATAAATAAAAATGCAGATATGTAATATCTAAGTTTCATATTGCAGCAACTACTCACGATCAATCTGTATTTAGCTTCTACCGTGATAACCAACCGTGTGATGGCTTTGAGCAAGCTCTTGCTCGGTATAGGGAACTTGTTCCGCAACTTAATTTGGCTGGTTGGTGCACCATTGCTTGTTTTAAGCTTCACATATGACAACATAGTAAGATTCATTTGGCTCATGTGTGATGAATAATGCTTAACAGGTCCAACTTCGTTTGCGCCAATCATTGAGACAGCTATTGGAATTGTTGATAGTAGTGGTGGCTAGTTGGACACAACATTTTAGTTGGATGACTCTTTTGATGACACCAATAGGCGCTTTGTGCGGAGAATCCAAGAATCTGATGTCAGAGAGACGTTGAAAAGGATGAAAGGAGGTAAGGCGATGGGACCGGATGGTATCCCAATCGAGGTGTGGAGATACCTCGGGGACATAGCTATAGTATAGCTAACCAAGCTGTTCAATCATATTTTTCGATCGAACAAGATGCCTGACGAGTGGAGGAGAAGTATATTGGTACCGATCTACAAGAATAAAGGGGATATTAAAAGTTGTACTAATTACCGAGGAATTAAGTTGATGAGCCATACTATGAAGCTATGGGAAAGAGTTATCGAGCATCGCTTGAGAGCAATAACGCGGATCTCTATGAACCAATTTAGTTTTATGCCCGGAAGGTCAACCATGGAAGTTATTTTCTTAATAAGACAAGTTATGGAGCGGTATAGGGAGAAGAAGAAGTACCTACACATGGTTTTTATTGACTTGGAGAAGGCTTATGATAAAATACCAAGGAATGTTATGTGGTGGGCTTTGGACAAACATAAAGTCCCAACGAAGTACGTCGGTCTCATTAAGGACATGTACAACAATGTTGTGACTAGTGTTCGAACAAGTGATGGAGATACGGATGACTTCCCGATTAGGATAGAACTACATCAAGGGTCAGCTTTGAACCCTTATCTGTTTGCCTTAGTGATGGATGAGGTCACAAGGAACATACAAGGGGACATCCCTTGATGTATGCTTTTCGCGGACGATGTAGTGCTAGTTGATGAAAGCCGAACATGAGTGAATCAGAAATTGAAGTTATAGCCGGAGACTTTAGAGTCCAAAGGTTTTAGACTCGGTAGAACTAAAACTGAGTATATGAGATGTGACTTCGACACTACTACTCGTGAGGAGGAAGATATTAGTTTGGAAGGTCAAGTAGTGCATAGGAATGATACATTTTGATATTTAGGATCAATCCTACAGAGAGACGGGGATATTGATGAAGATGTTAGCCATAGAATCAAAGCAGGGTGGATGAAGTGGCGCCAAGCATCTTGTGTCCTATGTGACAAAATGGTATCACAGAAGCTAAAAGGCAAGTTTTATAGGACGACGATTAGACTAGCTATGTTGTATGGTGCAGAATGTTGACCTATGAAAAGACGACATGTTCAACAGATAAGTGTCGCGGAAATATGTATGTTGCGTTGGATTTGCGGTCATACAAGAAGGGATCGAGTTCGAACGATGATATACATGATAGATTAGGGGTAGCACCAATTGAAGAAAAACTTATCCAACACCGGTTGAGATGGTTTGGACATGTCCAACGGAGAGCTTTAGAGGCACCGGTGCGTAGTGGAATACTAAACCATAATAGTAACATGAAGAGAGACAGAGGAAGACCGAAGTTGACTTGGGTAGAGACAATAAAAGGAGACTTGAAAGAATGTAATATACCCAAATACTTAGTCTTAGATAGGAGTGCTTGAAAAGCAGCTATTTATGTGCCTGAACCTTGATTGCTTATGATGGGTTTCAATTCTAGCCTACCCCAACTTGTTTGGGACTTCGTTGTTGTTGTAGTAGTGGTGGCCAGTATAATAGCAGATGGACAGGTTTGTTCGATAACTCGTATTCAGTTTCTGTTGTATAATCGTAATTCCTATCCTGAAGAATTCGTCATGATGACGTGTTATACCCTCTAATATTCTGGCTATGGTTTTCTTTTGAATTTTCCAGGTTACACGCAGCGTTGAAACAGGCAATGGTCAGTTGAGCCGACAGGAAAGGGAGACCATAGATGCCATTGTGAAGGCTAGGCAACCATACGCCAAATATTTCTGTGATTAAGACTGCTCTTGACTTACCATGAACTAGTGTTTTGGTCATACTGAGCTTTTATGTCTCAACACTGAATCCATCAATGCAGTGACTACCCACTTTCAATTGTGCTTGTTGGTGTTGGGGATGGGCCATGGGACATGATGAGGCAATTCGATGATAACATACCTTCCCGCGCATTCGACAATTTTCAGGTAAATTGTATAGTCGTTCTCTGGAACCATGGCACCCCATGTTTTGATCAAACATGCATGAGAAACACTAATTATGCTGGTGGAATGGAATGCAGTTTGTGAACTTCACACAGATCATGTCAAGGCCTATACCGGCCAGCAAAAAGGAAGCAGAATTTGCTCTTTCAGCACTGATGGAGATTCCAGAACAATTCAAGGCAGCACTGAGCCTCCAGCTTCTTGGGTATTTTCTTGTCCACCTGTCAAAACCTTCCTCATACCTGGAAATTCGGATCATCCCCTGTTTATCTCTGTTTATCACTGTAAGTAGTCATCAAGTTTGTTTTTACATGTTTCTTGGGCAACAAACGAAGAGGATTTCCGAACCGGCCAGTGCTGTAAATACTCTGGATGGTCAGCTGTAAAACCGACCGAATCCACTAGCTACGGATCAGCGCCTGAGAAGCCATCTGCGCCTCGACAGGACAGTGACATAGGTGATCCACAGGTATGTTTCAATGTTATTATAGTAGAGACAATGAAACATTAATGTGGATATGGTTAGGGAATAGAGACAATGATGAAGCATGAATGTTTTTACCTCATGCTGGAGTGCTGAACTCCTCTCCTGCATGCAGACCTGTCCAATCTGCTGGAGCCAAACGAAGAACCTTGCTTTCGGGTGTGGGCATCAGGTACCAGATCGAACGGCTTGGAAACACTCGCTGAATTTTTCTTTCTTTATGTGACGGTGTCACTTCATCAGCTATGAATTGGTAATATAACCAATGATGCTTTTCTGAAAAAATGCAGACTTGCTCTGACTGCTCGAAGGATCTGAAGGTGTGCCCCATATGCCAGAGGGCGATCTCCACAAGACTGAAGCTCTACTGAAACAAAGCCCTTGAGAAGAGAAGCTCATAGGAAATCATCAGTTGAAGGGGGGACAAAACTTTAGAGACGATTAGATATTATACTATAGGAGGTTATGCAAATTAGCAGCAGGAAGACTGTAAATAGAGAGTTTTTATGATGAATGCTCAAACTTTTTTTCGAAAAGTATGAATGCTCAAACTTAAATACTTTGTGTGGTTATGGCATGCATACAGTTGGTTAACAAAGTTAAAGGAATGGTCCATGTCGTCAAATGATATGTTCTTTTTAGCCTATTATATAGTTTTTGTTCCTATATTCATGCCAAAATAATATAAATATAAACAATATAGTGAAGGAACCCACGTACGTGCATACCTGAGAGCAGTGATGAGTGAATGCCTGCCTGCCTGCCCGCTTTCTCTCCTCTCCTGAAGAAAGAGCGCGAAGCTTGCAAGGAAGGAGATGGAGCTGCTGCTGAGGCAATGCTGGCAACCTGCATGACTCCCTCAACGCCAACCGGGAGGCACGCCATAGACACGATGGCGTTGCTTCTCGGATGGCATTCAGGGAGCCAGGCAGCACGAGCCGCCATGAAAGCAGCTACACACCTCATGCTGCTGCTGCTGCTGCTGGCTGGCTGGATCTGCTTGGCTGAATGCTGCAGCAGCAGCCACAGCGCAGCCAAAATACGCGCAGCCGAACGGTGTGATGCATGTTATTGTACGGCATAGACATACAGATGAGTGAGGACAAACGTGCATACCTTGAGACCACGACGACAATGCTTGGCAATTGCCATCCATGGCGTGCTCTGTATCCTACGCGAACGTCGTAGCTTTGGGCATCCAATCCAAATCCATGCTGTATCCTGCATATATGATGCAAAAGTACTGTGGCTACTAGCTAGTAGCTAGATGGTGACGGACGCGCGCGGCAATGTCTGTCAGTCTGTGTGCTCTACTGCTCTCTGTGCTGTGCTGGTGGTGGGATCGCGCGGGCGGGCGCGGCCAAAAGGTCGCAGCTGGGAAGGGTACGGACGGTGCCGGGGCTCTGGACCCCGCCGGGATGCCGGGAGAGCCCGGGCAATGCCAGCGACCAGCGCGCAGTCCAGCTGAGCGGCCGGCGGCATGCATGTGAGCGCGGTGAGCCGGCCGTCGCGAGCCTGCGCGTTGCGTGGCTGTGGCTGCACCAGCCGCGAGTAGCACAGCGTCGTGCTGATCAACTGCTGTACTAGTTTGTAATGGCAATGCAAGCGGCAAATGCAATGCAAACGTAGGGCAGGGCCGGTACGCAGCCTTGCCTAGGTAGGCGACGATTCCTCCACTGCCTTACAGGTCAGCGCTGCTTTTGTCCGATCCGCTTCCATCGCCCCCCCGGGGGGGGGCGCTCAGCGATTCAGATTCATTTCAGGGACGACGACATGACATGCTCGATCCGACACTGTTGCTGTTACCGGCCAATGGCAAGCAAAGCAAAGCATAAGCAAGGAAGGCGTGTTTTGGGTTTTGGGACGTACCACTACATACGCGTGTAGTTAATCATAGTTGATCTTTTTTTTTTTTTTTTTTTTCAAAGTCGTGCATGTACGCCACCGAGCTGCAACTTAATTTTAGTGTTTCTATATTTTTATTTATCCTCCACAAATTAACTGTGGCACTTGCGCTACAGGTATCTTTTATTTTTTCCTACCATTGTTTTTATTCTGCACAAATTTTTAATTGTTCTACTTTTTTATCCTCCACAAATTAACTATGGCACTTGTGCTATAGCTATCTTTTATTTTCTACCACAGTTTTTTATTCTGAACAAATTAGTTATATTACTTGCTCACGATGCATGCTGCGCAAACTGCAATCGCTGCGATAAATAAGATAGATCCACTTATACACAGCGAAACTATCAATTCGTTTCTTAAAAATAAGGAGAGAAATGAAAAGGCCGGCCAAAATGAAAGACCAAAGCAAACAAAGCTACTGAAAGAAGAACAAATCACCCACTCAGCTACTCCCTCCCTTCATGGCCTCTTTCAATTCGTTCCATCATCTCGATCTCTCGCCATTACCTCCGGCCTCTTCCTTGCTGGCTCCTTCCTTTCCTCCATCCCTTCTGATCCGAGACCCGGCGGACGGGACGTCGGCCATAGATAGATCCTTGTCGATCCAGTTGCTTGGGTCGTCGGCAATATAAGGGAATGGGGCGCGTGAAGCTTGCGATCAGGAGGATCGAGAACAAGACGAGCCGGCAGGTGACCTTCTCGAAGCGGCAGAACGGGCTGGTCAAGAAAAGGCGTACGAGCTGTGCGTGTGCTCTGCGACATCAACCTCGCCCTCCTCATGTTCTCCGCCTCCGCACGCCTCACCCACTTCTCCGGCCGCCGAAGCGGGTACCTACCTAGCTTAGCTACCATCGATCGGCCGGATCGACGGGCGTCGTCCACAATCTATGTATCCACGATGCATCGCATTGCGCATGTATACTCATCCTCTCTTTGTCTGATGTGCTTGTGCTTGCCAAATGCATTGCAGGGTGGAGGACGTGATCCTCCGGTACATGGACCTCTCGGAATCGTCGGAGCACTACACGGGAGGGTACGGTGAGCCTGCCACCGATCGATTGCGTTCTCGTCGATGTCCTCATGCACGAATCCGTTCCTTCGTCTCCTCCTCCTCAGCCTTGCCTTTTTCTCCAGTTATTATTATATATATACTCCCAATTGCATGCATGTCTGATGTCTCTCGTTTCTTTGTTGGGTTTGGGTGATGTGATTAATTACATACTTGTCATCCGATGGACCATGGTTGCAGCGCCATCCAGAACCGAGAGGTAAGGCACACTGGCACACACTACTACTGACGCTGCACACTACTCCAGTAACTAACTAACTGCAGCAACTGACACTCTCTGCTGTCGGTGCGGTGCCTCGTCAGCATGCTCCAGCGGCTCAAGCGCGAGGGCGACGTGGCCGCTCCACAGATGGCCAAGTACTACGTAACACATCCTGGCTAGATGTTTTTTCCCCTTATTACACTCACCCAATCTCATCCTTGTCAAACTTCCAAACTTGCAGCCCGGGAGCACTGAAGGACAAGATCGAGGTGAGGAGCAGTTACGTTACGTACAAGCCCTGCCACTGCCTCTGCCTGCCAGCCCATATGTAGTTTTGCAGCCCTGCTAGTGCTACCTCCTGGGCTCCTGCTGGCACCTTCACTTCACTTCCGCCGTTTCTAAGTTTTGCATTGGATGCATGCATGCGTTGCAGGAGATTCAGCAAGAGATTTACACCTCGCAGCAGCAGCTGCACATCTCTGAGGGACGCCTGAGGTCAGTGAATGAACACAGATTTCATTTTGCGTTTCAGAGCCATCATACGCTGTTGCATATGCATTGTTGTAGGCTGTTGGAGCCGCCGGACCCTGCCGCGTTCGCCTCTACGACCGGCGACGACATCGACGCCTGCGAGAAGTTCCTCGTCGACGTGCTCGCTCGCGTCGTCCAAGGGAAGGTCGTAATGCATGCATGGCGATCCAGCTTTCAAACATTTGATCAAGCAAACCAGACTATATTGCGACGCCTTTACTTCTGCGACAAGTTCCTCGTCGACGTGCTCGCTGGCGTGTCGTCCAAGGACCTTTAGTCGTGGATGCATGCATGGCGTCTTCTTCCTCCCCGAGCCCGCCCAAGAGCTTCATTTCAAATTTAAGCAGTGTTGTTGTTGTTTCTCCATCCATTCTTCGATTCTTCGACCTCCGTCGATTCTTCGGTTCTAAAGGTTACCGACTTCATACTCTCATGTTTCACCATTGTCTTATCTCATTTTGTTCACTATATATATATGGTTCTTTATTATGGTTTTTTTATTTGTAAGCAATTTGAGCTCAAAATCACTTCAAGCTTGCATATTTACATAAAGAAAGGTTAAAGTAGCTATTAAAAACCAGTATTCACCGTTCATTTGTAGCATGCATAGCACACTTCATTGTTTAGAGATATAGATATTTTAGAGTTTTTTTAATTTTATTTGTTTATAAAATGAGAAATTTATAATGTATTAAAAAATGAGTATAGAGAGTAGATGGCAACTGCTTCCGGGTCCTTGGCCTCTCATGGGTTTCTAAAGCGACTTAGGCCGGGCCTCCCACTCATTGCATGCGGCAAGTGTTGTGATGAGACGAAGATTGTGATGGAGTACCGAGTGAAGGAGGGTTCCAACAAGAGTCGCATTTTCTACGAGTCTCTGGATCGTAATTTGAGTTATTTTATCGTATTTAATGACTATGGTTAGTTTATACCTATTTTCATGATGGTTGTGATTAAAGTTCTAATTTTCTGTTTTAATTTTAGTGGGATGGCACTGGATGTTCAGGCTTCTACTAGAAGGAAGAGTATGTTGAACTCGTGCAAAAATATCTTACTGTGACAGTGAAGATATGGTGGCTAATGAGGCGATGATCCACCGAAAGAAGCCCAAAGATATTGAACAAACAGGGGATCTGTCTGTTTTAGTTGGGATTGGTATTGAAATCCTTGTCTTTGCTAAAGTGTATTTTAGCTTTAGTGTTTTAGTGGTAGTTGGGATTGTCTACATTGTAGCGAGACTTTCTTAAATTTATAGCTTTTGTGGTGGTATGCATGTTGTATAATTATGTAATTTAACTAATTATGTTCTAGGTTTTATCACGGTATTTATGTCATATAATGCGGATGAGTCGGCATTGGATGTACAATGCTGATCGTCAGCTCCCAAGAGTTCATGGATGACGTGCATTCTTTGTTACGTCGCGGCCGAGACAAGACAAACAAACACGATGGTTTCATGTGCTGTCCATGTGCCGTATGTAAGAATAATGCGATGGAATATGCTAACTCAAAGACTCTTCAATCACACTTGTTCAAGTCGGGTTTCATGCCAAACTATATTTGTTGGACGAAGCACGGAGAAACCGGAGTTGTAATGGAAGAAGGTGAAGAAGAACAATGGGGCGATGATGACATTTTTTTGAATATGGTGCCTTCAATGA